AGTTACAATTCGCCATTTCAGATGTGAAAATGGCTCATAACATTCAACACAAGGGCCTCTCTACAATGATATATAATTTAAAAATTAACACGAGCACAGAGGAGACTCTGCATTTTTGAACTAGGAACTTAGAGGTTAAAGCTTGATAAGGTGAGCTCAAGGAACCAGATGAGTTATTAAGCAGATGCCTCTGTTACATGTTTCCATGACTTCAGAGCTCACCCAGTGTCTTCCAGTTCACTTGCACTTGTCAGAGTGCAAGCCCACAAATGGTGTATTTATATTCGGGTATTTTTCCCCATTGTTAGGGACGTTCTATAATTCCTGACACAGACCTTTCCAATATAAACCATGCTGTCGGAAAGCAAGCAAAGCAGAAAAAAATCAATGCTTGATCTCCAGCAGGGGCCAAACAAAGCTGGACAGCAAAACCAGAAAGAGCTCATGGAGACGCTCAGAGGGGAACCATGGCTGTGTTTGCAGCATCATTGGCTCTGGGTGGAAATGGGCATCAAAGACTTTGGACGCTAGAAAATGAGACATGTGCTCATCACCAGCAAAGGGGACAGAGATGGTGACAGAGATAGAGAAAAAGAGGGAAAGAGAAAGTGAGATAGCCAGGAAGAAAAGAAAGGGTAGCATTCTTGCAGGCATAATGCTGGAGACACTTGGGTGCTTGTATTATTGGTTCACCCATTTGTGGCCTTGTGACCAAGTCATTGCTCCCTGGTCTGCTCTGGCATCAAGTGGTTACAATTATGGATTGCAAATTTATTGACATTTGACATCTATTCCAGCTTTCCCCTGGTCAACAAAACTCTGCCACCAAACTGAATAATTACAGAAGATTTCAGCTGTCATGGAGATTCCAAAAAGGTCATTAAATCATTTTGAAAAAACAATGTGTTGCTCCATTTCATCTCACCAGTAAATCTTCCACTGGAACCACCTAGTGTTGATGCTTAGAGAGGGGATGAATTACAGAACGGCAGGAGGAGTTAAATTCCTAAGAAAAAGTAGGGACTGAGCACAGGGGGAACCTTTGGTTTTGTATTTTGTAATTCATGTTGTAGCATAAAATTGGGGTGTCCCTGGCTGATAGTGGATTCTTCCTGGAAAACAGAGGGTCATGGGCACATCTAGGCACTGGGGGTAGTCCCGGGACATGCAGGTACAGCACTAAGTCCTGGTCCTCCACAGTCCACTCAGGGCCCTGGTAGTGTGAAGCTGATAGAATTTGTCACCCATATCCACATCTTCTTTGTGGGACATCCCTTCTTCCTAGATGCATGTGGCCCTGAGTCACCCAGAATTCCATCAAATCCACTGTTCTCCCCAGGCTCACCGTCAGCCCAAAGCACCACTGTCTCTCCCTTGGCCTCCTGCATCTCTGCACTGGCCTCCTGCTTGTGAACCTGACCCTTCTCATCCATGCCCTTTCAGTGGCTTTCCAGTGGGCTCAAGGGAAAACCACGCAGTGTTCTCAAGCATGTCCTGCAAAGCTCTGTCTTGCTTGCTGTCCACCCCTAGACTCAAGTCCCACCTCTCCAGCACCAGCGTATGGCACCTCCATCTACACCAGCCTTGCTCCTGTCTCTCTTGCCTGGGTCCACCTCAACGTCATCTTTGATTATGATGACCTGTATCTTGAGCACAAAAAATGTCAGCCTTCAGTAGTACTGTCTGCTTGTATCCCCTCCCTGTTTCATACCATCTGCATTCTCAGGCATACAGTGGCGAGCCAGGCGGGGCAGCCCCTGCTTGCCTGAGCTCAGAGGTGGATGTAGGCTCAGTAACCGGGACAAACAGGTGAAAGTCCATGACGCCACTCACGTCCTGCTCCTGCAAAGTTAGAAGACTTTGCTGGCACCAATGCTTCTTTTCCTAATGCTCTGCCCCTGTTCTCCACCTGGCTCATTCCTCGTCCTTGTTCTAGACTCTATTTTGTTGGATTCCTTGAGGCTTCTTGTCTTCACTGGAGCCGTGCCTTCCCTGTGAGATCGCCAAGCACAGGCTGAGCTTTGCTGGTTGATTTGTCTTTCTAGAAGTGGGGCCAAACTCTGTTGTTCACACCTGTCGTCCCAGAACCAGCCCAAGTTTCGAACACACGATATGTGCGTACTGTTTAATGAATGGTGTCATATTTGGCTTTCCCAAAATTGAGTTGGTTCTGTGACATCACAATTGCTGTTGTTGCTGTTACGATGCAGACTGTTAGACATATTCACCCAACCTCGATTCTAAGGATGTTATATCTTTACAGTTATGAGGCTGGTTCTTGTTGATTGAAGGATTCTATGTGTCTGAGACTGGACTGGGCAGGCTCTTAGTAGGTTCCATCTAATTTTATCTTTATAATAAAATATGACATTGGCCTTCTTGCCCCCACTTGATGGAAGAGGCAGCCAAGGTTCAGGGAGGTGACATGGCCCACCCCAGGGCCTTCAGTGAGGAGGCAGAGAGGTGGGCCCAAGGCCAGGCTTCGGCAGTTCCAGGGACCATGTTCTTCCCCCAGAAGCTCGGCTGTTGTGTTTCCTCCTGGGGACTTAGCCTCAGGAACTCCCCATCTCCTGAGACTGCAGGATAGGCTGCCCCTGTACTCACAAAAGCCTCCCATTTTTTTTTTTTTTTCATCCTCTTGCACTTCTGGGATGATGAATCCCGATTGGTTCTCTGACTTCCAAGCCGGAGCAAAGACCATCCAATAGGGACCCATCTCCATGGTTACCGCATACAACAGAATCTGGAGGAAGGCGACAAAGGGGAAGTGGAGGCTCCAGCAAGTATGGGGGGAGTAGGCAGTCACAAACAATTAGACATGACAAACTTCTCTGGTGAACAAAGATAGAATTATTTGACTGTGAAATCAAGTAATGTAGCATTGAAAATAATACAACTTGAAACATCATTTTTTTCTCCATCGGTGAAAAACACCAGGTAAAACCATGGACCCTGCAAGTGCCAAAAGGCTTGTGTTTTAGGGATGCTTAATTTTTTTTCCTTTCCTTTTCTCTCCCCTGCAAATACCTGTATCTCACACTGGAGTGAGTAACCTACAGAATTTGGCCAGCGAATAGGTTGGTGTTGGGAGATTTGGGAGCCAAATTCTGGCTTGAGGTGAATTATCTATTGCCTATACTTGATTTGCTCCTTTGCCATTTATAAGCTGTGTTGTCTTGCTGGTCACTCCTCCTATTTAGGGGCTGGTTTCTTTGCCTGTAAGCTAAATATAATCATGGTTCTTTCTTTAAAGAGTTTCAGGGTACGATCAACCAAGATAATACACAGAGCATTATGCCTGACTTTGGCCCTTCTGGAGGTAAGGGCTTGGCCCTGAGAATCAGTCCACCACCAGCTAAGGGCTGCCCAGGGCCAGGGAGGTGCAGGCACGGAAGGCAGTTAGCAGGTGCAGGCAAAGCAACTCCAGCAGCTGAAGGCTGTCCATGAAGAGTTTCAGGTGTGTCTATCAGAAAGAAGGCAAGACACGCAGAAGCCAGGAATAGGCACTAGGTTGCGGATTCAAGAACCCAGAGGCACTTCTAGTGTCTTCTGCATGTAGACTGCACTGGGGCCAGGTTCTTACCTGGCTCCCACTTTTATGGAAAAATGCCAGTTTCCCCAAAGTTCTATTTGTGAGTATTGGTGGGGCCTCTCTCTGCCTCACAGTGTTGATGTTAAAATACATAAATTCTTTTGTCCAAAAAAAATGTACCAAGGAGATGCCTTCCACTTCACTGTTACTAACAAAATAATCTAAAAGGTGATCCCAAACAGTGCTCAGTAAGTAATAGTCCTCAGTCAATATCAATGACAAGGACAACAATGACAATAAACACAGTGCCAGGCTCTGTTCTAAGCACATTTGTTAGCAGATTTAGCCACCATCTCCATCATCATCTCATCATCACCATCATCACCATCATCATCACCATCACCATCACTACCACCATCACCATCATCTGTCTTGCAAACCCAAGTACAGACATTCCCAGGCACGGCTCAGCCACAAGCAAATCCGCACTGTAGCAAGGGGGATTTTTAAGGTAGCTGGTGACAGAGGAAGAGGGAGGTCTGAGGGGAGGAAATGGCAGGTTCATGCTCTGTCCCCGCTTTTCTCAGGGACCTACTTTCTCCCCCCACCCCCTCCCCCCGGAGCTGTTCCAGAAGAATCTGTATTCATAGGCTCTCCTTATTTCTTCAAATAGTATGGCACAGTCCAGCCCACTCCTTGATTTCAGTCTTAAGCAAACAAAAGGGATTATTATTATTTCTAACAGCAGGTGATCAAGGAGAGAGAAGAGTGAGGCTCATCAAGCACTTGCCTGGGGGCTGGGGCTGGTGCTGAGCAGTCCCTGTGCCTTCTCCAACCCAATCCCCAACACAGACTGAGGTGGGAGAAAGGGACTGCAAGACCCCCGACTCCCCTAGTCTGAGCCCCCCTCTCTTAACGGTCTTCAGGGAGTTTCTTCTGCATTCTCACAGCATTGCTGTAAGACAGGTATTATTAGTTGGGTCTTAGGGCTGATAAAACAGAAGCTCAAGAGGACAACCGACTGGTCCAGGCACACACGGTGAGAAAGTGCCCCTGCTGGGATGTGAGGCCAGCTCTGCCTGACCTCATCGTCCTCCCTGGCTCTGAGAAGCATGATGAAGATGGCAGCTCAGGTTTCCTGGGCACATAACTCCACCTCCAGGGCTCCATGCACCGGGTCCTCCGATCCTCATCACCGCCAAGCAGGGATGCTGTTGACCCCACTTAACAGATGAGCAAATGCAGGGTTGCACGATTAAGCAGCACTCTGAGATATATTCATCAGATGACTGGCATGTGCTGTTCATGCATGGTCATGATCAGTCTGCAGATGAAGCATTTGGGCCAAGCCCAGGAGTGATCGCAGGGGAAAGAGGCGACACAGAGGTTTGAGCCACGAAAGTCAGACTCCAGACCCCACGTGCTCACCACGAGGTGTCTCATGTCCTGTTTCTAGGCCATGCTGTTTCCTGGCCCGGCCGACCTCGCTCCTTCTACTTGGCCCCTTGCCTCACGTGGTCACGTGTAGGCCCTCGTCAGCAACTGCAGACCATCCGCCAAGCTCCAAAGCACAGAGATATCTGAACTTCCCAATTACCAACGAGCCACACTGTATTCCTTGATTGGCTCCCAAATCTGACTCTACACACCAACATGAACCATAAGCAAGTTGAGTTGGGTCTCTACTGTAGGCATACTCCCTTCTTCTTCTGCCTAGCACAAAAGTATTTGGGGTCCAAAGATAAGGACAGAAAGGTAGTTTTAGCCACAGGAATGCCTGCCCCCATACCCTTTATGATTCCTCTGTTCAAATCTATCACCTGACGCCCTTGCCCCAAACTCTCAAACACTCTGACCTCCAGGGGCCAAGCTGACCCCCTGCGCTGCTGAGCCTTGATGGTCTCTGCTGTCCATCCCCCAAAGCTGGACAGGGAGAGGCTGAGACTGCAGGCCTTGGTCAGTAGTTTGAGACCAGCTTCAACATTTACCATCTGGCCAGGGATGTGTACTGTGCCCTAAACCAAGACCCAGTTTGTCCCAGTTTGTCCAAGATTTCCCTGGTTTTAGTTCCTTATCCCAGGAGCCTGCCTGCCAAATCTGGAAGACTGGTTATCCCACTGGAGAACCCAGCCTGCTTTCCTCCGCTAGGCAACCTAATGGAGTCACACAAGATGGAGCCACCCCTTCCCAGCCAGCTACAAGGAGAGGTACAGCACATAAAAGCCCCCAGTGCTAGGACTGTTGGGGCTGGCCCGGGGGAGGGGAGCGGAGAACACAAGGAAACAGGGCTGGTGTCTCCACGTGGCCTTGCTACCGGATTCAGAGGCTGCAAATCGGTAGCCTAGGAGTTACATCTGGTCTCTGATATTCCAAACAACAACAAAGCAAGCTAAGACCACACCAAATCAAAAGGCACCAACAGAAAACCCTCAGTTGAAATAAGCGGAGGCTGCACACAATAGCCTGAATTCCCTCGGAAAACACCCTCCAGAGCTCTGCAGGGGCTTCTGGCTTTTCTTTGCCACAATGTGGACTACTGGAGTCCTTCATGTCACCTGCCTGGCCTTGGGGCACTTGTATCGTGAGCCCTCATGGCTGGGTCCCAGCAGCTACCACTTGCAGTCAGCAAGCATCCAAGAGTCTCTATGCTGTGAGTCCTTAACTAAATTCACATTTATTTACAAGTGGGAGGTGTGGGCAGGTGGGGCTGATCCCATGGCAAAGCAGGCTCACCCCAGACCCCCAGATGGAGACAGACAGATCTGCTCACTGGATCCCAATGACTAGAAGCTGCATGAGTTGGAAAACATCTATTTTTTGCTTATGTTCACAGCTACGAGGTGTGGAATCAGCCCAGTGGAAACGCTCTATGCGACACAGATCATGTGCCTCCCGCATGCAAACAAACAAAGAAATATGTGAATATTCCAGAAAAAAAGAAAAACACCCAAACGACCGCTTTTGGCATAGCCGTGGGTCCTGGACTGCACAGCCAGCAGTGGCCGCTAAAATTCCCTAATGGCAACGTGCGCCGTGGGCTGCTGGCGTTCCCTTTCCCCGCCAGGTGAGCCTCACGTAACCTTTCCACTGGATTTAATAGGAGAATGCGGCATGCACTGATGTGCAGAAACTCCTGCTCACCCAGGGGCGAGCTGGGAAGGAGGCTGCTGCACGCCGAACCCTCAGCTATTTTGGTACCCTTAACACACTCCCTTATCTCCGTGTCCTACATATCATTTAACAAACTGCCCTGCGATTCGTGCAGGGCGTGGCGTCATGACTGATTTAAAATCCCCGCATTGCTAAAACTGCATTGTTCTTCATCAAGTTGAGTCATTTTTATGTGAAGTGTCAAGCTCCCTAACAAATAACTCCTGCCAGACAAATCAAGTTCCTCGTCTTAGAGCTGCGGCTAAATAGTTTATAGCTTTAATCTGCTCACCGAGGTGTGCAGTCTATGACAGTAATTATAAATGCAAGGAGAAATTATAGCTGAATGCTTTAACTGCATTAGGAGCCGTTTGATGAACAATCATGAGCGCCTGCTCATTTCCAACAATAGAGGGCAAGTTAGTGTCAATGCATTAGAGAGATTTCAGTTCTGCATGGCTTTTTCTCCCATTTACCACGGAATGTCACTTGTCTCCTATAAAGTAGAAAAAAAAAGCGTCGTGGAAAGCTTTAAACTTGATAGTTAAAAAAAAGACAAAGAGAGATATGCAGGGGAAAACTGTTTATCATTATGACTTCTTTTTTTCTGTTTTTGTTTGGCGGCAGGTTCGGTTCCAAATTAGCTGGTTGAAGGTAACTGCTTGTTTGCTTGCTCGGGGCCTTAAGACACGTTTGAGAAGTCTGCTTAGAGATGAAGGCCAAGTTCAAAACCAGCCCAGGGAGTGGCTCCCACGAGGGTGTGCGTCCCTCTGCTGGGATGGTCTCTCCATCTGCATCTACCTAAGCTAATGACACGCTTTAGCTCTTTATTTTCCCCTCCTCACTTTTGCAGAAAGACGTTTTTAATTTAGCTGAAGAATTACACAAATGTATTTTAAAGACATAAATCCATATAAAAAATATGAGCTAATTAAAACATTGCACTCCCTGTCGCTCATGGATTTTCAATTTAGCGAAAGAAAAAAGAATTGCATCTGGTTAAATGAAAAGATGATACTGATGGCAGATTGGAGTAAATGAAAAATAATGTTACTCTATATTAAAGCACCAAATTATACACGTCAGGATTGAGCACTGGAAAGTCCAAATGAGGGGAAGTACAATGGGGGCTCAGAAGTGTTGACCTGCTCGGGGTGTTAAGCCAGAGCCGCTGGATAAAACGCAGATGTTAAGAGTGACAACGCGTTGGTTTCTTGTGGTTTGAGAGAAGCTAGAATCTTCTATTTGACCCTATTTCCATGGTTCTTAGTTTGTTTCCCCAAAGTGAATTCCTGAGATTCAGGAGGAAGATTCAAAGACGATTTACACACACACACACACACACACACACACACACGATATTTCAAAAAGTTCGTGGAATACCGAATTAGAAGACCAGCTTATTTGGTGCCCAGAACTCTGAGATGCACGCAGTCCATCAGCCGTGCGTTTTCCATAAGCGTTCTGGAGCTCTCTCACACGTGGCTTTCTAAATTTTGCACCCCAATACGCTTATCTTTTATTTCCATTTTTCATGAACTTTGGGAAGCACTGCGTGTCTTACATTTTCATTGGACTGTGGATCGCTTGTTGGCTAGCACTGCGCAGAGGAGCCAGGGTGCTGTGAGGGAACAGGCACCCTGCTTCCCGCCAGCTTCCAGCTGCCACATCTGATTCACAGCGGGGCCGTCAAGGGGCCCGGGGAGACCCTGTGCCCTTCTCACTTTACCGACTACTCTCTGAGCCGCTGGAAGCACATCTGGCCGTGAGGAGGACCTGGGAACCACGAGGCGAGGAGAAATGGAAAAGCAGAAGAGGGGCCGGCGCCGTGGCATAGCCGGAAAAGCTCTGCCTGCAGTGCCTGCATCCCATATGGGCGCCTGTTCGAGTCCCGGCTGCTCCATTTCTGATCCAGCTCTCTGCTATGGCCTGGGAAAGCAGAATATGGCCCAAGTCCTTGGGACCCTGCACCCTCGTGGGAGACCTGAGGGAACTCCTGGGCCCTGGCTTCAGATCGGCACAGCTCCAGCTGTTGCGGCCATTTGGGGAGTGAGCCAGTGGAGGGAAGACACCTCTCTCTCTCTCTCTCTCTCTCTCTCTCTCTGCCTAACTCTGACTTTCAAATAATAAATAAGTCTTAAGAAAAAAAAAAAGCAGAAGAAACTTGATGGGACTAGGACAGTCCTGGGTTCCAATCCTACCTCCAGGATTCCTTTGTGTTCTGGGATAAATCGTGAAACTCTGAATTTTGGTTTACCTCTCTGCAAAGGCAGAATAATATGAGTAACCATGCCTGGCTCGTAGGAAGAAGCCAATAAGTGGTAGTTCTGCTGTTGCCGTCATAATCAAATTGCAGGTTGAGGTGGTCGTGGGGCACCTGAGGATACCCTGCACGTTCTACAGACCCCAGGTGAGGCTGTGGAATGTGCTGTGGGCCTGTAGAGACCAACAAACTGCTTTTCCTGTGACGCTACTGTGTGCTGCACTTTACGGAAAGTGGTCGCATTTGTTTAATCCTCACAGCCTTCCAACGGGAGGGACACTCAGTCTACATTCTGTAGCGACAGAAGTGGGGGATGTCACAGAATGGGGGGTGAGTTAGGGTTTGAGGCAGGTGCAACGTCTCCCACCACCAGCATTCTCGATGCTCCTCTCCACCACTGGCTGCTCCCTTCAGCATTTACCCCATCTGTCTGCCACTAGCCATAAGGCAGACTCTCCTCCTGGCGTTTGGTTTGTTCCCTAGCACTGGCACAATGGCTTTCCAGATGTGTGACAGTGAACAAGCGAGGCTCAGTGACTGTGGGACCTGGGGAAACCCATGCAGAATCAACCTGCCTCGGTTTCCCCCTCCAGAACACAGCTGAATCCCTGCCTACCTCACAGGGCTGTTTACAACAATGGAGAGAAACAGTGCTTGCGGAAGTCCCTGCCGCAGGCCCCTCCCCCACCCCCCCACCTCATTTAGTCACTATAATGGGCACAGCTGCGGATTCACTGTTACATTTCCATGGCTATACAGCGTCTGGTGCATTTATAAAGGCACAACCAGTATTTGTTAAAGGATGCAAGGAATGCAAACAGAGCAAAGAAGGGAGAGAGGGCGGGATGAAGGAGTGGTTAATATGTCTTACAGACATTATTTAGGCCAGACTACGGGGCTTTTTCTGGACTACCATACATTCCATGTTGTTAGGGTAGCCAGATCCAGCAAATAAAAATACAAGTTGTACAGTTAAGTCTGAGTCTTGGATAAACAAGGAATATATTTTTAAAATAGAAGCCCATGTATATTTGGGAGATTCTTATACTAAAAGCATGTGTGTTATGTGAAGTGCAAATTTAACTGGACATCCACCCTGTATTTTATCTGGCAACCTTACATGCTTTTCACGTGGAAAATGTGTTTTTATCAAGCCGCCCATAACGAAGGTGGCAGCTCATTGACTGGAATGCATTGCTGCCGACAATTTCAAGGCTAGGTGGGCTGTTAAACTTGTACGCTATATTACACGGTAATGACTATAATTTCAAGTTCTTATGTATTTTAGACTCATTGATTTGCTCTCTGTTTAATTTCTATTATTCCAGAGCATATGACTTTTAAAGATATATACAAATACATATTGAAATTGCCTTTGACTACTTACGTCCTATTACGTCCTAACATAAAGATACGCATTGAATATTCTCTAAATAATTTTTCATGAGAAGTTGCATCTAATATTTGGTAGAGCTTTTTTTTTTTAAGGATCTAAGATATATCCCAGAAAGGAAAGAAAATTCAGGTCAACATTTGTGTCTTTCAGAAAAGATAGATACGGTAAAGCTTCCAAATTTTCCATAAAATCTTGACCATGCTTTTGAAAACGTCATGTCATTTCGCAGGATGTGTGCTCCATGCATACCAATTAAGATTAGAGTTCCAGATAACAGTGATGTCATCTCACAGCCATTTAGGGGGATAATATGCATAATTCCAAGCGGTGGGTAAAGTATCCCATAAAGGCCATTCTAAAGAGGCACACGCTGAGGGTGGAGGCATTCTTTGCTAGGAGAACAAAGCAGCAAGAAACTACCTTTGTACCGACGGGGACCCCTCCCAGGCAGAGTGCAGTATCTTTTATAGTAACACAAACACGCCCAGACCTTCACCGTCTTTCCTGTATACACAGCACAGGTACAGCCCCATAGCTTTGAATGAATCCCAAATACTCAACCCTATATTTCTGTGACTGCCCTAGAGCCACAGCATAATGGCAATCATATAAGGTGGATAACAACAGCAGCCCTATCATAAGGTGCTTTGAAAACCCGTGAGAAGTATTTATTCTGCACAAATATAGAGACGTGAAAATAACCATCTTTTCTATTAACAGATTTGTAAATAACTCTTGTGTATTTTCCCCAAATTATTGGTTTTCTTTCACTTCCTTCAAACAGTATGTTTTAGATTTTGTCTGCAGATGGATAGAAGCTTTTTCTTTCTCCCTCATCCCTACTTATAGCAGTTAAAAAAATGGCGAGAAATTGTTTTTTCTACATCACAAATAAACATTCCATACTTGTCCTTCTCACCATGGGTTGAACTTACCGCTACTGGGTTTGAAACATCTTTCTTCTCTCTAGGTCTACTACGTATGTCCACTTTTTTTTTTAAGGGACCAGAAAAGCATAACAGCAAGTTACAAAAATCTTAAAATGCTATCAAGCAAATAAATTGGATGTCACAGAGCTCCAAGCTCACGCATGGATTCAATAGTGCATTTCAGCCTTTCTTTCAGTAATATGAGCTGAACAAACCATGCTTGGAGAGTAAGACATGCATCTGCCGGTAACACATTTAATTCCCACGACAAAGACGTGCAAACAAACAAACCAATGAAAAGATTCTTCATTTGAGCCCAGGTAGCTGTTGGAGTTCTAGGGTGTTCTTATTAGCTTTTCAAATCTGATTGGGCATTACTAAACAGCTAACTAATTAAGAGCAAGCCTATAGTCTAGTAGGACGGAAGCTGGACTGGTAACGTTTAGCTCAGGGCAGGTTCCCACCTCGAGGGGTGGTCCGAGGTGGAGGACAACCTAAAGATGAGGAGGGTCCCTAATACAAAGGGGTATTACACTGGTGGGGAGAGAAAAAGAAATCAAACAAAACAAAACAAACACTCTGCCAAGTGCAGATGGAAGAGATGTATTGATGCCCAGCCTTGCTTCTGCTCAAAATTTGCGAGTGGTTGCTGTTGCTAATTTGCAAAGGCACTTGGCCTTGCACCCTGTGTCCTGTCCTCTCCCCTGGAGGTGACACAGGTGGTCTGAGCATCGGTTTCTTCTGTGATACATGCTGTTGATGTTGTGGGACCCATGCACTTTGACAACAGGTCAGGCAGGCAGCCATTTGTTTCTTTATGTAAAATAAAATCTCAAGGGCATCTATTGCACCTATCTTTATTAAACATGGGCTCGGGTATGGGTCTATCCTAAAGAAAACCAAATAGGGAAAGACGCAAACAAGCTGTTTCTTTTTCCATCTCAGGGTTCCACAGAGAATCTTATTTCTCTACTGGCCCCATCAAGGGCACGTGTTCTTTCTTAGGAAACAAAAGACAGGGAGATGGAAGGTAGCCATGGCTAAAAGCGAGCTGTGGAAAGCATCAATGACAAGGAACAATGACAAAGTCAAGTTTGAGCTACTTATGGGTTGATCTAGAAACCTCTTTCTAGTGACTGTCCCCGGCCACTCTCCCCTCTTCATTCTGTTGCTCACCTTTTATCACTTATTAATTAAAATACGGGCCAGCCTTGGCCCGGCCCTGCAGCTGGGGCCTGGGGTAGCTAGGGAGACCCTGCCTCCTGAAGGCTTCCCAAGAAGCAGCAGTGACAGCTGAACTTCACCTCCCTAAATCCGTCTTATTCTATTCGCCAGCTCTAAACTGGAGGGCGTGAGAGAGGGACTAGAACTCAGCACATTCTGGCCTCTCCAGTAAGCTTGCTGTCCTGCCGGCCTCTGGGAGACATTGGCTGCCTCCGAGCAGACCCACCTCCCTTTAAGAAGCTGCTCCCGAGGCGCCTGGGGCAGTCGCCTGGGAGCAAACCCATACCTGCAGGGCTATTCTTCATCCACGTCTGCTACAAACTGGGAATGGTGTTCGGGTGACTTGCTGTGCGTTTTGCTTAGGTGGAGTTTTACTGCATGTTTGCTCACAAATGTCCGACAGCACAACTTACACTTGAACTTAGAGTCCGTGTCCTCTTCGCCAGCTATTGTTTCCGGAGACCTCTGAGCCGACGATACCCGGGAGATCTCTTGCTCCACCTTGCTTGGCTGGTCCACGGCCATGCGGGTCATGTCCTTCATTTGGAAACCCAGGTGAGATTCTAAGTGGCTGATGTAGGTGGAGGGGGTTCGGAACTGGGAGGCACAGTCACTGCAGTAAAAGATGGGGTGTCCTTTGTCCATGTTTTTCAGAAACTTTGTCCCGCCCGTTTTCCGAAGCTGGTATTTGACGTTCGCCAGCCAGTGGCTGATCGTGGTCATGGACAGTCCCGTGAACTTTGAGATTTGCATACGCTCTTGAGGACCCAGGTCGGACAGCAGGTATTTGCCCTCTGACGTCTGGAAGAGGCTCGAGGCGAACTGCGCTTGCAGAATCAGGAGGTGCTGCGGGTTCCAGTTGGACTGCCGGCCTTTTCTTTTATGCAAAGTCGAGACCTCGCTGGAGACGTCCTCAAAGCGCCTGACGTCCATCTCCAGCTTCATGGGAGGGACCCTGGAGGAAGCGGCCGGCTTCGGGGTGGTTGCTTTGGGGAGGACTTTGACCATGTCGGCGATGTCGGACAGAGCGTGCTTCTGAGGGGGGGACGTGCAGGATTGTGCTTGCGAGGACTCGGCTTTCTTGCTCTTGGACTTGGTCAGGTCGATGGGCTGATCGTTGTTCTCGAACAGGTAGCGCCTGGACACGCTGGCTGGCCTCGCCGAGGCGGGACTCAACACGGGCTTGTCCATGACACTGAGACTGGACTTGTGGAACAAGGGCATTGTGCTTGAGCTGGGGCTGGCACAGGCAGCAGAGCGCAGGGGCTCCGTGGCCTTGCCCAGGTGGTTGTTCAGGACGGACTGCAGGGCGCTGAGCGGGTTGATGCAGGGCAGGGCGGGGCTGTGGTTGGTGAGGGCACAGCCATTGCTGAGTGCTGCCGCCGCCGGCTCCAGGGCCTGGGGCTTCTCTTTCTCGCCGCCCTCCCTGGCCGGCTGGTCCTCCTCCTTCAGGGCACAGGGCTCCACCTTCTTGGCTTCCGCAGGCGCTTCGCTTCTGGGGAAAGAGTCCCCGTCGCCCTGGCCGAAAGACGAGGCCTCGTGGTGGGGACTTTCCTTCCCACACTCCTTCACCCCCTCCTCTTTGTCTTCCGGCTCCTTCTTCACGTGCGGGTACGGGGCCAGGTTGGCGGGCACCGAGACGAGCGGCATGACTTTCCACTTCGGGGCAATGGGCCTCAGCTTGTTGGCGAGATTCGGTCGGATCTGCAGCACCTGGGACCCCAGGGGCAGCGGCGGCTTGCTGCCCTCCGACAGCTGGTAGGCTGCGTGGATGCTGGGGTACGCGCTCCAGCTGGGTGCCCCGTTCTGGGCTTTGTTGATGGCTGTGGTGACGGTGTTCTCCAAGGACTTCAGAATGTCCCCTCCGCCCTTGGAGCCATCCTCCAAGTCCTCCTCCCTCAGATACTGGTATTTTATGGTCGGGTCCAGAGGCTTTTGCAGGGTATCTTCGTAGTCCTCACTTTTCACCACTTTCTCCTCCTTGCCGCCGTCCTCGGCTTTTTCCTTCTTGCCCTCCTTCTTCGGCTCGGTCGTGGAGGCCGTGCAGTCAGAGGCGGAGTTGCTGGACGGCTTGGGGGTCAGGGGGTCGCTGCTGGGGGCTTCCGACAGGGACTGCATCTTCTCCACGGCCAGTGGGTCTAACACCAGCTGCTTCCCCTTCTTGGAGGCGGTGCTGGTGACCTTGAGAAAGTGGCCGGTGACCATCATGTGGGTGGTGAGCTGTTGCAAGGTGTCGTGGGAGCTCCCACACTCCATGCACTTTAAGATCTGGGACTTGCAGGCCTCGAACTGCCAGGTGTAGCTGGCGCCGTTCTGGTAACCGTAGCGGTTGTTGGAAGACAACTGCACGCTGGCGTTCTTCTGAGAAGAATAGGAATCTGCGAATGACCCCGTGGTGGAATCGGGCGAACACGGCCGGTTGACGTCAAACACGCGCTTCTTCGCCGGAGTGACCATTTTCGGCGAGATGGTCGGTACTGGCTCCTTCAAAGGCACTTTTTGGTAATGTTTTGTTTTGATCATGTGGACGCTCAGATCCTGGAGGGAGTCAAAGGAGTCGCCACAAAACATGCATTTCAGAACCTTCTGAGCATCCTCCTTGTCCATATCTTGGAACGCCCTTTTCCGGGGCTTTGAGTAGCTCGTGGGTCTGAGCTTGTCCTTTTTGCGGTTGTCATCTTGATAGTGGCCCGTCTCGTTCATGTGCACAGTCAACTCCACCAGGGTGTCGTAGGCGGCGCTGCACTGGCGGCAGCGGAACCTGCTGGCGCCCGTGAACACCGTCCCGCACACCTTGCTGCTCTGCCGGTACAGCTGCACCGAGCTGAACAGGCTGGGCTTGGAGACGGATCTCGAAGGCAAGTTCTGCTGCAGGCTTTTGGAGAGCGCGTCTTGGTGCCAATCAAAATCACTCTTGCCGTTGCTGTTGCGGGTGTCACAGTTCCGCCTCTCGCTGCTGGACAGCTTGAAGCCAAGGCCCAGGCCTGACCAGTAGGAATCAGACAAGATGTTGGCGTAGACGGCGGTCATTTTATCCATGCAGTTGTGGGCCTCGCCAGGCACCCTGGGGTGTGTGTTCGCTCTCTTGTCCGAGGCATCTCGGCCACAGACGCTCTTGACGTCCGACACCTGGTCGCTGGCATCGCTCAGCAGAGACTCGTTCTCGGCGTCTTGGTTGGACAGGTGGCTTCCTGGAGAGTTCTGGTAGCTGAAGCAGCCTTTGTGCTCTGTGCCCGTTTCTAGCTCCTCGTCTGTGCCTGTGTCATTGCTGCCCTGAAGCTGAGCTACTGAACCGCTGTCCTCCTCCTCCTCCTCTTCCTCTTTTATTTCTTCCTCTTCCTTCAGCTGTTCCTCCTGGGCATAGCCTGTAGGAGAAGAGGAAGACGTGAGATAGCAGTAACAGGTTTCGCTTTCCATCCCAGTTCCCCCACTTGGACTAAGTGGTTCCCGTGCCAAACAGAACAGCAATTTAATCTCTACTTTTATGAACTGCGGGCGACAGAAAGAGGGAGAAAGCCAAATGATGTCTTCGGTGCCATCTACTGCCTCCTTTAATTGGCAGGACTCATCATTCTTTATGAATGCCTAGAATCCCAAGTTAGCAATATTCATGGTTCAGGAAAATCGTTCTAATATTCCTATAATGGGACAGTAGCTAAATGCATGTGTGTGACTTTCAGGAAAGCTGGATTGAAATGCAAATCCTATTAAAGTCCTGTCTCCATGGGGAAGGATGTTGGCTCATAAGAAATCCAAGACCCGACCCTTGGCAAGTCAGTGGTGAGGTTTACCAAGACACTTGGGTCTATTGGCATATAATCATCTCAATAAATCATTCTCGAGTGCTCAGAAATAATTTGGATGCACAATCATTATATTTTTGATAGCCAATGTCTTTTTGTTATAACATTTTTATCTGCAGAGAGTCGCACAGCAGGAAGAGAGATTACGAGGTATGCAAATAAAATCTTCTATAGATAGCTGAAAAATTATGTAAGCTCAGCGAATATCCTGATTTAAAAATAATAGCAAATGGTGTTAGAATGGGAGATTTGGGGACTATCTTATTATTCTCAAACAGGTTTATGAAGACCTTTCCAGACAAGGCTGAAAATGCCCTCTCGATCTTGCGCCTGTAATTCCAAACGCACTGTGATTTGTGGGTACCCGCCACGAGATGCCAATTATACATTTGATTTGTAGATGCAAAATGCTATTGGGGATGCATGCTTTGCCTTCTCTGAAAGGATTTAGGGCCAGTAATTGCACAGGGAAAATGAAGGCACAAGGGAGCGGGTGCAAAGAGTATTAATGGGCAAATATCCATCAATGGAGATGGGGAAGGGGACTATTTATGCCCATGGGCTCATTCTCTTCACCTGGCCTTCTCAGGGCCATGTGGATAAAATGCAACCAGAGAAGTGCCAGAGAAAAGGAGAACCGGGCTCAGATTTGCAAGGCCTGCATGATCTTAACGCAATGTTTTCCTCGTGAGCTTCTCTCTCTCCTGTTGGTGGCAAGCAGCTACTTGGAAAAACCCTTAGAGCAGGTACTGTCCTTTCCCTTCACCAAGAGGAGAGAGATGGGTCTGTTCTGTGAGGCAGCAGACAGAATTAGAAGAGAAGGGGAGGAGCCGGTGCTGTAGCTCAGCAGGTTAATCCTCCGCCTGCAGCGTCGGCATCCCATGTGGGCGCTGGTTCTAGTCCCGGCTGCTCCTCTTCCCATCCAGCTCTCTGCTGTGGCCTGGGAAAGCAGTAGAAGATGGTCCAAGTCCTTGGGCCCCTGCACCTGTATGGGAGACTGCAGGAAGCTCCTGGCTCTTGGCTTCAGATCAGTACAGCTCCGGCCATTGTGGCCATTTGGGGAGTGAACCAGCGGACAGAAGACCTTTCTCTCTGTCTCTCCCTCTCACTGTCTGTAACTCTCTCAAATAAATAGATAAAATCTAAAAAAAAAAAAAAAATAGAAGGGGATTTGTTAAGAATAAGGCAGCTGTAGTCAAGAACACCAAAGGCTGATGAGGATGATGAAGATGGAAAATTATTCATCAGTAACTGGATCCTAGGTGCTAAGCTAGGCCCTGAAAATGCACACTTTCATTCTGTCTAATACCCACGTGAAGTAGGAACTGATATTATTCTCATTCCACAGATGAGGGAACTGAGGCTTTAAGATTAGAAAATGCACCCAAAGCCACACAGTTAGTATTGCGGAGTGGTGACAAGACCCCCAAGTCTGGGGGCAGCGCTGTGGTGCAGTGGGTTAGGTCATCGTCTGCAGTGCTGGCATCCCCTGTGGGCACTGGTTCGAGTCCCAGCTGCCTCACTTCCCATCCAGCTCCATGCTGATGCACCTGGGAAAGGAGCGGAAGATGGACCAAGTGCTTGGGCCCCTGCACCCACGTGGGAGACCCGGAGGAAGTGCCTGGCTGCTGGATTCCAGTCCTGGCTGTTGCAGACATTTGGAGAGCAAACCAGCAGATGGAAGATCTCTCTCTCTCTCTCTCTCTGTAGCTCTGACTTTCAAATAAATAAATCTTTTTTTTTTTAAGTCTATTGAACCAGAGAGTCATGGTCCTATCCAGGATGCACCGCTCTGTTCCTGTTACCAACTGAATGCTAAGAAACGGAGGAGCCGGCGCCGCGGCTCACTAGGCTAATCCTCCGCCTAGCGGCGCCGGCACACTGGGTTCTAGTCCTGGTCGGGGCGCCAGATTCTGTCCCGGTTGCCCCTCTTCCAGGCCAGCCCTCTGCTGTGGCCCGGGAGTGCAGTGGAGGATGGCCCAGGTGCTTGGGCCCTGCACCCCATGGGAGACCAGGAGAAGCACCTGGCTCCTGGCTCCTGCCATCGGATCAGCGCGGTGCCGCCGGGCCGCATCGCCGCTGGCCGCGGCGGCCATTGGAGGGTGAACCAACGGCAAAGGAAGACCTTTCTCTCTGTCTCTCTCTCTCTCACTGTCCACTCTGCCTGTCAAAAAAATAAATAAAAAAAAAAAAAAAAGAAACGGAGGAGACCTAAAGGTCAAGTAGCAGGATTTGATCGAAACGTCACTGCAAAGGTAACCTCCTCCGAAGGGAGCATTGTGGGACACCAGAGACAAGGCATGAAGCCCTTAAAGCAAGAAGAGCTGTAAATTCAGTCTGGGCTCGAGTTTCATGTTGTGTTTGTTACGTCACTGCTACTGGTGTGGTGTTTTGCTTCCTCAGCAAATGACAAGTGAATTTCTCCTGGTCTCTGTAAGTTGATTTGAAGAAACAAAAAGATACTCAGTCTAGTCAACCAAGCATTAACAAGTTATTATTGCCAGAAAACTACAGCGTAAAATAACAAAATGACTGAATTAGACCATCATTCTCACCACATTTTCTTTTTCCTGGACTAATTTGTATGTCTACAAAATGCTATACCATTAAGTTCAAGATGGAAGTCTGTGTTAGAGAATTAATAAATGAGTTGTTACTGAGCCAAGTAAAATACTCCAAAAAATCAAGGAAAATTTTCCATCAAATCTGGTCTCGCACTTTAAAGTAAATTTTTATTTATTTGAAAGTCAAAGAGGCAGAGAGAGATGTTCTAACCACTGATTCACTTCCCAGATGCCTATAACAGTTGGGGTTTGGCCAAGCCAAATCTGGGAGCAGGAAACTCAGTCCAGGCCTCCCACGTGGTAGCAGGGACCCAAGTACTTGAGCCAACTCCTGCTGCTTCCTAGGGTGTGCATTAGCAGCAAGTTGGAATCAGAAACCAAGCCAGGACTTGAACCCAGGCATCTTAACTGCTACACTGAGAGTGAATAGGGCACTGGTACTCTGGGACATATGCGGAGGCAACAGGCACAGGGCAGGGTGCTCCAGGCTAAGCGGTATGAGGGTACCTTCGTAAATTTGGGGAGCGGAATGGAATTAACAGATAAGTTTATTGTTGTGCAAAATTTTTTGCAATCCTTGCATTGCTTCTTTCAAAATACACATTTCCCACGAACTTTCTGAAGACCTCTGTGTGCACGGATTTCAGAAATTTTTGAAGTTTATCAAAATAAACTTATCTTTAAGCTCTATTTTCCACAAATATTTTGTAGTACTGTTGTATAGACATGACCTGTGTGTGGGCAATGTGACCACATCAACAAAGAAAAGCATGTGCACATGTGTGCACACACATGCTTATTAATACACATATACACGTGTGCACACACATGCTTATTAATACACATATACACGTGTGCACACACATGCTTATTAATACACATTTACATGTGTGCACACACATGCTTATTAATACACATATACATGTGCACACACATGCTTATTAATACACATACACATGTGTGCACACACACACACAGAAACACAAAAACACACACAGCAGGTAAAGAACTATGGAGGAGGAGCCAAAAGGCTTTCTGTGCCACCATTGGCTAAGGGGATTGCTTGATGGTAATTATGCTGGTATTTTTAGAGCCTCGCTCCCCGCCTGACACTTCACAGAGGGTTGGGAAGTACTTTGTGTTGTGGTTTGTGTGCACACATACACGTACACACAATGCACCCAGCCAATATAGTCATTTCTGTACAAGAAGAAGAGAAATGTTCTTTTTTCCTGCTGACATTTGGAAGCTGAGCTTTCCAGACCAGCTCAAACTCACAATCTACTCTGTCCTTCTAAATGGATTCCCTGGAAGAAAGTCGGAGACAGCCAACGCCTCCCCTACAATACAGATGAAATTTTCTGCTTAATTAGGCATTGACATGTTTACTATAACCTTTACAGCAGAGTAACTCGTGCTGAGAGACCCTTTTTGTCTGTTTCCCTCTGTAGGACACACTGAATCTCACGCACCCGATAAGGTAACGCACTGAAAACCCTCATAAAAAAAAGTGCCAGAGCCCCCATCAAAGTGAGTGTATTTTAACAGCAACTGAGGGTTCCAAGCAGTTTTTAAAAAACACATTTTAAAATTATACATTTAAAACTGCTCACTTGACTTAAGTGGTTTTGTTTGCCACCGGCAGTTAGGGAAGGAGAGAGAAGGCAGGGAGGGTGGGTGCCGGTGATCTGGGTGGAGAATGAGCATTTCCTCCTGGCTCTCACTATCGCTGACTTATCTAAGAACACTGCATCATGGTGTAACCCAATGAGTGGCAAGTGTATTCTGATCCGCACTTATTTAGAAAATTATCACAATTACGCCAAGACACAGTAAGGAAGAACCGTTTGCTACCACACTTCCTGACTGATTTTGGATTGAAGATGAAGCTTCATGGTGGGAAACACCCCCTTTTCCAACCTAAGTTTCTAACCCCGCCCCTCACCGCTGCCTGGTTCTGACCAGACAGTAGCCCACTTCCAGGGACTGAGAGTCCAT